TGGAATGCCCTTGATCTATGTACATTATCTTTGTATTTCCTCACAATAAATGCTTTCTTCTTAACTGTGCTCTGTACTTGGGAAGATGGAGTCCCTCTACGGTTTGATTTAGGAATAAATTAATAAAGAATTAATTAAAAAATACATTAATACTATCATTATATTAATAATAAAATACAAGTAACCCCAGGCAAATGTCAAGGAAACCTGTAATCTCGGTTGCTGATGCTGCTCACTTTCCTTCCATCAGGGATCATATTCCCAATCCAACAAGATTGTGGATTGATATGGATGAATCTGGTGGTATTCAAAGAAGGTACAAGGTGTTGCTCAGAGCAGTCCAGGTTATCAAAAATAATATAAAAGAATACAAGAGCCGGCAAACTGTTTCTTGGTCTTGTCACTCCAAACAATTTGTCCACCTTCATTATCGGTCTGTATTGGTTATTCGTAGAATAGTGAACATGAACACCACTCTAAACACATCAGAGGGTATTAAGTGAATGTTGGCATTTACCTTTTTGTGTAGCTTTAACTTGTTAGGGATCATCCCTTAGATATAATAAGACATGTTCATTTTGAATGCTTCAACTGGCCAACAGAATTATTGATCATGATTGTAGGCATCACTAACAAAACAACAGCCTGCAGCGCAGTCACATGTATGGACATGTGTTGTTATGTACAGACTTGCAGACCCTCTCCATACACCTGACAGCTGAATACATTACAGCTTCGCCTCCAGGGATCGGTTCAACCTTTTATCCTAGTCCTTTATTCCAATAATTTCTCACCTGCCGCTCTATATTTGCTCACGTGAACACACACACACACACACACACGAATTAAAGATCAATCACCAAGTAATGACTGATCCACAACAATGCTGATCTGCTCAAGAGTATGAGAAAGGGATGATTAACAAAACAGTAAGCTTATCTCAATGGTCAAAGTAACTGTTTTCAAAGTCCACCAACAATACAAACAGAAAAGTAGCATCAGCATTGTTTGTCAGGTCTGATGCAGAAAATGAATTTTATAAACTGTACAGCACTATAAAATATATTTCCTCAGCTTGAGAGCACATTACTGAGTGATGCTTTTCTACGATTTCATTGAAATACGCAGGTGCATATTAAAGCTACAAAGAGTAAATTAGACAATGAAGTAAACAGAGCTTTTCTGGCAAAAAAACTAAACCTTTAATAACTCAAATATATACATATGAATATATACAAATAGCACATACCACAATACAATAATAACTCCCTTAAAAGGCAACAAAATATTAATTAAAATGTTGAAGTCTTCATATTTTCTAGTGTGTTGCTAGAATCGAGATATCTAATTTGATTGAATTTAGTTTCTTGAACATGCTAGACCTTATAAGTTGATGGTAGCTGCCAGTAGCCTGTGTGAACTTATGATACCTGATACAGATAAAATGCAGCAACAATCTTTTGCTTGCATACACCCATTTGTCACAGCGGATGGTTACTTCATTAACTTACTTGGAACAAAGTTAGTTAATGAACGCTATAATATAAACTACTTATGTCCTTTCATGTCCAAACAAATTAGATTCTTGGATTCGTTGTGTAGCGCAATCATTACGTCACTCACTGTGGCGCAGAGCCTTTTACGTCACATTCAGACAGTTTAGCAGAGTACTAATTGGCTGCGTTTATGTACCGTTAAAGTTAACTTTAATTTATGGTATGATGGTAATAATTGTAATGATTAACTAAAAATATGAGAAGAAATGTTAATCACCCATTTTTCCATGACCAAGCTGATACGTTGGCTGGCTAAAAGCAGATCTTTGATAACTGAGACGAAACACGTTTTATTCTCAGTTTCGAGACAGGATTAAAACGGCCATCGGACATTCAAGTTGATATGAAATATTCTTCACTGTGAGTCTTAGTCTGTCAAAATACAAGCAGTGGAGAGATGTGTGTGTGCTGCAGGCAGAGTAGGAGGAGCAACTGTGTGTCTGTGTGTGTGTGTTTATGTGTGTGTCAGTGAATAAAAGGAACAGAGATGAGGAGCTGACAAGACAACCAGTCTTAAGGAGTGCTAACGAGACTTAACGACCTAACGATAGCTTGACCAAACAAAGCAGTGAGTGTCTCTGATGGCTTCTCTTTATAAAGATGTAAACGCTTTGATGGGTTTCATCTGTAGCTCTTGTGTGCTAAAAAATGTAGGTTACTTCAGAGGCTGTTCTCTTACCACACAGTGAAAGAAATATAATAAGTACTAACTAAACTTAATTTATACTGCACGTCTCTTAACACGCTTACAAAGAGCTTCAAAACAAATACAGAGTAATCAAGAGGAGGCAAATGAAACCGGAAAAATAACATACAAAGAGAGGATTTAAATGACAAACACAACTACCAATAAAATTAAGAATGCAGTTCCCCACTAAAACGCCTTGATTCAAAGTATATCGGTATTGTCATTATGATCTTATAGTCTGTGAAAAGGAGCGAGGGAAAACAAATATATTTTACACACTTTGTAGAACATATTAATTGTTGGTGTTTTTTTAATGTTAGTCCAGGGTCTGTTACAGCTATTTGACATAGCAAAGCCTAGTGTCAACATTAAGTTTGTCATTTCGTTCAAAAATAAATAAATCTTGCAAAATTATTTCGTATAATTTTAACAGCTCAGGCATGCTCAAGTATCTACCTCTAAAAACACCTTGATCATCAAGTTGATGATGGAGTGCGGCCATGACACCAGAGGAGGTTGAATTTGGAGGCTGCTGTCTGTAAGCCATCCATTCACGGATCTCTGATGAGCAACTCATTAAGTGGTTCAAACCACACGGGAATGAAGCACTGCAAAGACAAGAGTCTGTTATAGAACCACTGACTCTTCTAACATTAACAGACTCCGGCTTTCTATAGTCTGACAGCTTTACGGCTGCATTGTACAGCCCACCATTCACACACATGAGACTGTGCTCAACGCATGCCAAAAAACCCACATGACCCCTCTTTTCCTCTTGCATGGCAGAGCGGGGTCACCTTAAACCCAGAAGTAGCTTGTAAAAACTTCAAACATCTTGACAGAAACAAATTAAAACAAATCTACAAATTATTTGTTTCCCCAATATGTGGTTAACAAGGTGATTTCTAAAGGATTAGGTGTTAAAAATGTTTTCACGATACACCATTTTACCAAATGCCTCTTGATTTTGCACAGATCTCAAATAATTTGCACATCCTTTTCAGTTTGTTGAAGGATCAACTCTTGCGATTTAGCTCATCCATGATGATATGTGTTACTTCATCTTTTGCTGGATAATTCTTGGGGAGTTGAACGTTTTAAGGTCGGGGCCAGCGGCAGTAGTATCTTAGGAATCCCTTTAAACAGATAAGGCTTCTTGAATTAAACGAGACAAATATTCAATGACTAAAACAGGTAATCCCCCATACAAAAAAGAAAGATGATGAATTCATTTCACTGAAAGAGAAGAACAATATGCCCGTGGCATTTTGTGTAATCTTGTCTCTTTTGCACTCTGAGGGGGCCCATCAAATTTTTGTGCTCCTTTTGTCAGTGAGAACAGTGTCACCCAGTTTGCTCTCACTTGTTTACTAGTGCTGAATAAATGAGTTGATGAAATGTGAATTAAATAACATAATTAATCAGACTGGATACTTAAATAGTTTATAAAGAAGAATGCATAAGGTGTACCATGTTAGGTGGGTTTGTTTCCTTACCTTCTTTATTGTCAGTGTAACATTTAAAAAAAATAAATGGGGGTGGGGGGCAGTAGGTCCCCACTCAAAATACAAAGATGTCATTATGTCATTGAGAAAAAATAAATGGAGATTCTCCAGTGTTGTCTGCCATCTAGATGCTAGAAAAAAAAATGATTACCAAAAACTTTATGAATAACAAAAATGGGCATAAGTTGCTGCACTAAGCTCAACTTTAAATCTCTTGTGTATAACTTCTTAGCAAGCAATACATAGCTAAGTATGGTAATCATTTAAACCAAAGACTTAACCTTAGGTTTACACATTAACCTAGTTGAGGTGAATCTATTATGAAGGTGAACAAAGTCAATGTGCAAAAGCTGCAGACATTAAAAATGTGGATAATGTAGGTTACACTTCTAAACACACCACAGATGAAATACAATAGTTTGCTCCTGAGTGGTGGCTGCAGCCTGGAGGATACAGTTCAGTGTGCAGGCATTTGCATTTACCTCCACAACAACAGTGGTTAAAATGCAAGTTACATCTATCAAGAGTTATGACATGCGCATTCCCGAGAGAGCAAGCTACGCCAAAACTACCACGGGTTGGACAAAAAAAAAAAAAAAATGGTCACACTCTCAAACAGGCATAAGACACCATTTTGAAAAATCCATCGATTTCTAAGATAACAACTCCGCGATGCCATCTTGCCAATTATCACCAGATTAGCTACCGTTAGCAATGGCCCGGTCAACCATTCCTTTGCTGCTGCTGCTCACGCAGGAATCTGTGCGGGGTCACGGAAGAAAAACTAAAAAAAAAAAAAAGTTAGCTTGTAGCTCTCCTGCTAGCCTGAAAAAAAAGGGTAGCAGCTAAACCCCCACCGTAGCATCACTGCATCACTCTGCACACGCTGCTCAAAGTGCTAATTAGCAACCTAGCTTCACAAAGATTAGCAAAAATGGGTGATGGAAAAATACCAGACAGTAGGTCTGACCAAACTGCACAGGGGAAAAAAACACCAGCTACTTCTATACAAATGTTAAACCCCTCCGTAACAACACGACCACTCGTATCAGTTTGATTAAAGCTAGCTCGTTGTAGCCTAGCCCGCTAGTCCCCCCCCACCACCCCCCTCTGTAGCCAGCACATCACGGAGGACAATTGAAGGGATACGGAGGGAAAAAAAAAAAAGACAGAAAACAACCAAGCAAGTCGACACATGGACATTCTTGCTCTCCGTAATACAAAAAAAAAAAAACAGCGGACAGGACTCACCAAAGTCACTCAGTTGAACAACAACAAAAAGATTCCACTTGGTGCGTACGTGTTTTTGTCCCGTGTGTCTGCTTCAGGTCGGTGCGGACTGACTCTGCTACGGCAACGTTTCGTCGGTCGGGCCAGTGGCGCAGGGAAAGACAGCTTTCACCCAAAGAGACGGCCACCGTGTGGGGGATGGGGGATGCACTGCCGGGAGGGAGAGAGAGAGAGAGAGAGAGAGAGAGAGAGAGAGAGAGGAGGAAGGGAGGAAGGGAGGGATGCAGGGATGCAAGGAGAGAGGAGGGGAGAGGGGGGGCACCGATAACACAACAGTGGAGGGGCTATGATGATTATCATATGATAATTCTTTAAAAAAGATATGATTCGGACTAATAGACAAAGAGATAGATAGGCTGTCTAAATGGCCCCAGTTTCTGATACAAGGCGTCTTATTCTACTCTGAATTCACACAATAAAGGGGGTCTTTATTCTAGCCTACAAATTAAGCACACGTCTTCTTATATAAAGTGTGCTATATAGGGGGGGGGGGGTAGTAGGCTGTAATGTTAAGGCTACTACTCATTGTAGGTCCTTTGTTCTTATAATTGCCTCACTTATTTTGAGTCGCTGAGGCCCTGCATAAATATGCCGTCACAGTTCTTATTAAGTGTTATAACCAGCAGAAACACACGCAGTTGAAGAAGTGCCTGATGTGTGTCTACAAAAAGCCTGATGTAATGCATCTTTGTCATAAATATCTCCAGGCAGGAAAGTGTGTTATTTGGTCAGCAGCAGCTCTGTGGTGGTGAAGCGGTACTGCAGTAGTGTTGGAAGTTCACGTTCAATAATACACATCCAATAGCTTCTGCCTCATAGACCTACAGAAGAACATGGCAAGAGCCACATTTCTTGCTTCACATGAAGACAGCCTCACCCAGTGGATGTTATTTGCACTGCAGCACAGTGCCTCAATTTCCTACACATGCAATTAGTTTTGTATCTCTTTTTTGTAATTTCCGATATAGGATAGGATAGTACTTTATTGATACCCAGAGGGGAAATTCGGGCGTTACAGCAGCACAGACAAGAAAGCTCAAAAATACACATTTAACAGAATAGATAAATAAAAATAAAAATAAAAATAAAAATATGTTTGTTCTTTGTATCATTTTGTGAGTTTATTTTCCTTGTTTGTTTGCATCTTTTTTTTTAAGCTGAGTAATTATATTTAATCCGGTGGCAACATTGGTCAGTGAATTTTAATGCATCTCTAGTTCATATGCTAAAAGAAAAATGAATAAAACAAATTCGAGGTAGCCTATCTGCACAGCACGCTAAACCAAACCAAAGGTGTAAAGTCCAGAGACAAAAATAAGCTAAGTATGCAGCAGATCCCCGCTGTTATTTAAATACAGGTCCTATCTTCAACTTGAGAATACACCAACTCGACTGTCATCCACTTTTAGCCATTCACTACATAAATAGGCCTATATAGCTATGATTCACTAGGCTACAGACGACCAGGAGACGACCAATAACAGAACTACATTTCCCAGCCGTCATTGCGCGGCCCACTGTCGAAAACAACAAAAGAGCCACGAACATGCACTCACACAACGCATTTTTTTCGTTAACGAGATGAACCAGTCATTATTATGAACAAAGCAGCGCGTTTCCGTTTAAGATACTTATTGTGATTACTATGACGCAGAAAAAAAAACTAAAATATTACCGAGTCCTCGCGTGATTTTACGTTTCCCGGAAGTTAGAGTGGCATGAGAGAAAGCGCTGTCCGAGGTGCTGGCACTGTTCAGTACACTTACCCTGCTTCAGGCTGCCTACCTGTGTATTACATATGCATTTCTGTTTCATCTCTATGTTAGAATTTACAAAAAATAAAACGTAACTAAGGTAAGTCAAGGTATGTTTATTTTCGTTTGAATAAGTATGTGATGGTTGCCTACTGAATTCATTTGACACAAACTAAGCTCTAGGCCTAACGATAGGATACTATGTCTGTTAAAGAAATAGGCCTACTGAACAGACTTTTAGAAATGCTTAGCCTTTTACTTCTCTTCAAATCACTTCTCCTGTGTATTTCACACAGAAAAACACACATCATAAATTTGTAAAGAACAGACTCACACACATAACATTCTTTAACAATGCATTTAGTATTATTTTTTTTGTTTTTACTTTATAGAATATATTGTCAGAATCTGGGAAGATGGATGAACTTCAAGAGTCACTCCTCTCTACAACCAACACCAGCAACCTCAGCAGCAGCACGAGCAGCAGCCCTCCGAGTGGTAATTCGTGCAGTGCTCCGCAATGCAATGGGGTCCCGGAGAGCCGGACCCTGCTGCGGATGTCTGAGTCACACGGACTCCAGCTGCTGGGTGTGCTCAGATCTTTCAGGGAGCGGGGCTTGATGTTTGACTTTACCATTAAGGTCCAGGAACAAAGTTTTCCCTGTCATCGCTGCGTCCTTGCTGCATGCAGTGATTTCTTCAGGTATTTTTTTCAATCCTTTTTTTTATGTCTGCCTTGTATATGTAACGATTTCTGTATATGATAGTCTTCTGTTATGTGTGACTGCTGTGTGTTCAGGGCCATGTTTGAGGTGGATATGCGAGAGAAGGATGATGGTTCAGTGACTCTGGGTAACCAGTGTTCGATGGCGGTCAGTTCTTTCCTCGACTTTGCCTATTCGGGAGAAATGCTCATCACTGAAGGCAATGTAGACTTGCTGTTTCAGCTTGCCTCTTTTCTACAGGTATACACCCATTCTTTATTTATTTTTTACCCCTTTAGATATAGAGTACATTTTACCTTGTTTATGCTAAATTTGTGCCTGAACCAGGACCTCCTCACCTGGGTGATAATGGTATAACAAATAAAATTAATGTTTTGACGTGTACTCTTTAAAAGTCTTTATCAATTTGAAATAACATTTTCACTTATTCTTTTTTTAAATTTTTTTTTTGGTTGTGTCCTCAGGTGTCAGTCCTGTTCCGAGCGTGCAGCAACTTCCTAATAGCAACCATGGACCTTAGTAACTGTCTGTCCCTCTTCTCCCTTGCTGAGGCCTATGGCTCAGCTTCCCTCCTCCAAAGTGCCACCGAGTTTGTTGTTCAGAACTTCTGCAGCCTCTCCAAAACACAGGACTATCTGGAAATGCAGGTGCCACTGCGGGAATGAGGGGAAACATTTCTACCAAAGAGGCTGAAGTTTTTAGACCATTTGTCAATTACCCCTTAATCCTTTGATCACATTATACTATTGTTTTTATTATATATGAGGTCTGCAGTATGTCAGTCAGAGAAAACAACTTTAACCTATTCTTGATCTAACATGACAGTTCCCACGTTGGCCAGCCTTTCCCCCCCCGCAACCCAGAACAGGAAAAAATGGATGGATGCTCTAAAATGTAAAGTAAAAGAGCTGCTAGAATTTCTCACTTATGATTTACTTTTTAATTGGTTTCTTTTAGGTGGATGTGCTGGAAACATGCCTGAGGTCAGATGCTTTAAATGTGCCCAGAGAAGAGGTTGTGGTGGAGTCACTTCTTCGATGGGTATGCCATGATCTCCCGGGAAGACAAAAACTGTTACCGGGCTTGTTGTCTTTAACCAGACTACATCATCTACCTGCATCTGCCTTAAAGGTAAAATAAGGACATGACATTTGTAGGATTTACATTATTTTTTTTTACAGTTAGTAGTCTTCTTATGGACTTATCCTTCCTGTGGTACCCTCTTTCTCAGACCCTGCATGACTCAGACCCTCTCCTCTGTGACAACCAGTCCTGTCTGGCCCTGCTCTCAGAGGCTAAGAGCAAACAGGACCAGTACAGTGGCCTGCTCACTGATGCCCGGCCAGCTACCACGCAGAGCTACATCTACATCCACAAGACAGAGGAGAACGGAGAGATCCACCACACATTCTGCTACTGTCTGGAGACAGACCAGTGGAAAGAGCTGGGGGCAAGGCATGGAGAGGGCATAGCCACGATACCAGACCCACCAGGATCCTACCTTACCAGTTATGCTGAAAAGGTAAAACAAGTTTGTGGAATGGAATGGATCCCCGCTTCTGCTTTTTGGGGCAGTGGTTCATAATCTTTTCTTTTTTTTGGCTTGTGACCTTTAAAAAGAAGCAAAATATTCACTTTGTGAAAATTCAGCATCTGCTTGGTTTAAGCAGGGGTTGAGGTTATTGATAGAGATTTTATAACTTAAACCTTATTTTCTTTCATATCACTTCAAATATCTGTATAGGGGAAAATAGTAAGGGAATGTACATTAGGAGGAAAACAAATGAGGCCTGGACTTAATTGTGTGTTTCTGAATGATTCATACTGTATGTCCAGATGTGTTTTATTCCAGTTATAGCTTAAAAAAAAACCACACCTCTTTGTTGTTTTCTGGTTATTAGATGTTTGTGACAGGTGGTTGCAAAGGAAACTGCTGTCGGGCAATACGTCTCCATGTGGCTGAACTGTTCCATGATGCTACAGACGAGGTTTGGTGCTTCTGTCCTGTGACCCTCACCTGCACACCTGCACCTGCCATGCTAAAGCCCAGAACCACACACACTGCAGTCACCTGTCTGGACCGGATGTACGTCATAGGAGGGCGAACTACAGGATCCAGAGGGGGAGCACCCAGTCTTCTCGAGGTAACAGCTTCTCCTTTTTAAATAACTGAGACCTCATAGCTAAATCCTTTTATGGGAAGTAACTTTTCCCCTCTGTATTCTAGGTGGAGTATTATAATCCTCTGACCCAGACCTGGACCTCAGTCAGCCCACTGCCCACTGCTATCTTCTACCCTGAGGCCAGTGCTTGTGGCAGTGTTATCTACACTCTGGGATCAGAGGTGGAGCTCACAGACTCCTTTAACCCCTCACTGGACTGTTTCTTCTCCTATGATGCCCAGAAGGACCAGTGGAGCCGCCTGGTGGCAGAGTTTGGCCAGTTCTTCCATGCTACACTGGTCAAGTCTGTGTCAATAAATAACACTCTACATCTGTGTGACCTGTCCACTTATAAGGTAATGTGAGAATTAGTTTTCTGTTATTGTAATGTAGTTGGAATGCGGGAAAAGACATGTTTTAAATGTTACACACAGAGTTCAGAGTGTGCCTTTTTTTTCTTTCCAGGTGTACAGTTTCTGTCCAGAGACATGTGTGTGGAAGGGGGAAGGCTCATTCGAGTGTGCTGGGTTCAATGCTGGAGCAGTGGGTATGAGAGACAAAATCTACATCCTGGGTGGAGATTATTCACCTGATGAGATCACTGATGAAGTTCAGGTTGGAAGAAAAAAACATTATATCCATTTGAAATGTGCTATCAGTCTTTGACATTTTTCTGTAAAGATGTGGTTCCGAGTCATTGTGTTTGTGTTTCTTTTAATGGCAAAATGGCTCTTTGCTTTCAAGAGGCCTGGATGATATAACCAGTGGAGGACAGTGGATAGATCTAGATCTGAACACGGGCCGCCTGCTTGGAGGACTCTAGTTTCCATACATGGGGCCCACATACTAGCTACTAGGCTACCAATGCCACCAGTTACATTTTTTTTAAATACAATTTGCACAAGATACTAATCCCTCCTGCTATGGTGGCCGACTGTTTCTGTCTACATCCTATATCATTAGTGAGTTAAAATGGTTTACATACCGTAGGAGCATGGATGGGCAAAGGTGAGGATGAGGCAGGAATGTAAATGGATAAATGTGAGTAGAGAAGCTGTGGTTTAAATAGCTAATTTAAGAGGAAACTATATGTATGTGACCCTGCTCCCAAACATAAGATAATCAGATAATTAAAAGTTAAATGTTTCTATAAACCAGGGTTAGAGGCATTTCTCTCTCACCGTTGTAAAGTTCTGAGTTGCTCTGTTGTGTTGTCTTTCCTGTACAGGTGTACCACAGCAGCAGGAGTCAATGGGAGGAGGTGGCTCCGATGCCCCGAGCACTCACCGAGTTCCACTGTCAGCTCATCAGCTTCAACAGATACAGAGACCCCTGGAGTGACACAGCGGACACACACACATGAGCACGTCGGAGTGCGTGCGTTACATGTATAGCCCACCTTCAATGCACCCCTGAGTCTCCAGTGTGCACGGCAGACAGCTGGCTGAGCTTGCATCTTCAGAGAGACTAACAATATTTCACTTCACATCTCACAGGTCATCACGACACAAGTGCAGCCAAGCCAAAACAAATGATTTTATTTTTTTATTCCTAGAGCAGAACCTTAACTTTGTATGCGTGTCAATCAAAAAGTGGTCCCTCCCATGGAGGAAAACCTATTCAGCAATATACTTTAATAGAATCACACTTTAAGTAACTCTGTTTTCCTGCCTAGTGAAAATTCACCCAATAGCTGTAAATGTATCAACTCTCAAGAGCACTTTGTTATGTTTACTTTCTAAGTCACAAGAGTCTCCATTTAAGATAAACACATACAGTTTAAAGTGCAACTAAAAATAAACATTATTAGTGAGTCTTCCCTGTGGTATGTGGTTCTCTGATAAATAACTTCAGTGGGGCTTATCCATATTGTTTGATCCTGATATTTCTTTCTAGATATTATATGGTTATAAAAACTCCTGATAATGGCTATTGGCTAATAACGATAGTGCAACTACCAGGATGAATGTACTTGATCATTGCTTGTCTTTATTCTGCTTCAGCATGTCATGTATCCATGCATTCCCAATTCCTCTTCTCGACTGATAGGATACATGACCCAAGTATCTTCGATAATCGCTTGTTTGAGTGAAATTTGCAACTGTTTCTGCCTGTCACAGAGACCACTCACTAGCTGCTGCAAAGCGTACCATTACTTGTTTGAGACATTAGAAGACAGAACATTTGGGTTTTGAGGTGAAAATGAAAGTTGTTTGTGTTTTCTTTTATGCACAGAAGAAGAAACTCGACTACATGGACGACTGTTTAATTGCAAGTGAAAATGAACATAAACATAGAGCTTCAAAAATTGTGTCGACGTCCTCTTTCAGTGAATACGGAGTCTGCATTTTGCACATTCATCACTTAAAATAGAACAGACACCACAGCTTGGATCAATGTACCATCAGTTATATGAATGACACAGAGGCATGCGCTGGTCACTGTTTAGAGGTACATATGTAGGTCTAGACATTGCTGTTGGAGGAAAAAACAGGACCTTAAATCCCTTTCAATGCATTTCTATTTCACCTTCGATCTCTCCTCTGACTTCAAGTTTGGCTTTTGCCAAAATTCAAGACCACGTTTAAAAACATCTCTGAATACAAATACAGATCCAAGGGCTTCACTCCCCAGAATGACATGCTGCTCATCTAGAAAAAATGACATAGAGCTTTGGCAATCCTGAAATATTCTGGACTAGAAATATAAATGTGTACTGAAAGAGCTGAGAGATGTAAACCCCATGTTTGGAAACAGATCAATCAGTAGCAATACAAAGTCTTATAAAACCGTGCTAGGTTCCCTCCATCACCTCTCGTTGAATGGTTCAGTCCTGGTATGTTTTCACCAGCAGCCACATCAGCATCACGGTGATTAAGACGATCATAAAGTTGAGGAAAAGCTCCTGTACTGAGCGATCCATGATGGTGGGATCTCAGGTGAGTGCAGAGACGGGAAGAATCCAAGGAAATGCTGAGACGCCGTGCAGGGGGAAGAAAGACGAAAAACAAGGAGGGTGGATGCAGAAGTGCTTCAGTAGAGGGAGGTGCTCCTTTTTTGTACTAGTGTCCTGGACCAGAGAGGTGAAGAGTAATCAAAGATATGATGTTATCATGTTATCATATATTAGAGGGATCGGTCACTTCTCATGCAGGTTGTTATTCTGTTTTTTGTCGCCTTCACTCAGCAAAGTCAGGGTCTTTGTACACTCATAGGAGATGATGCACACACCCACAGAGCAAACACAAAACCAAGTTAGAGAAAAGAGTGTGTTGTTAATCACATGTTTACACTTATTTCAGGTACCCAAAGAAGATGCTGTCACACACATTGAATTTTAAATTGTTTTGATTGCCTCCATTATTCTCCCAACACTATGACTGATGTGTAGAATGTTAACACAAAATCAGATGTAGTAAGTGAGCCATTACCTTTCCTTTTCAGCAGCGATCTCACAATAAAGAGGAGGACGAGCATCCACCAGCAGCTGATCTTCTTGCCGTTATCGGGCTCTCTGTGTCCGTCAGAATAAGAGTCCTCTCCTAAAGTAGCCATCCTCAGTGGACCGCCCATGTTTCACATACACACAGACTGATGTCACACACCAACTAACCAACCAACCAACCAACCAACAGAGTGTGTTATTTTCCACACTCTGGTCCACAGGCGAGCTACCTATCCATAACCATACAGAGAGTCTCTCTCACACACAGCAGAGGAGGGACTCTGGTTATTTATAAAACATTATTGCAGATACTGGGTGGGTTACAGTTGTTCCAAACACAATACTCACGTCTTCTGCTGGATTTAGGAAAGTGTAACAGTATCAGTCAGTCTCTGGGTAGGTCCTGTATGCAGAGGGGAAAGGAAGAACAGCAACAAGGCGTGTGGGTTTGAATCAAGTTCATGCCCCATTTCATCATGCTGTATATTTGCCTTGTCACTTTGTGGAGAGGAGCTTTGCATAGTTTAAGTCACTTCTTCTCATAGTTAGTAGCAATAGGAAGATACTCTTGATGCTTCTGATCAACTTCAGACCTCCCTGCTGAATGCCAGTGATGAAGACAAAGTATGTTTCCATCATGCTGCTGTGTTTCATGTACTTCTTAAACTAATTTATCTGAACTGATGGCTAAACAGAAAGAGCCCAATCAGTTTCTGCTACCCTCCAGAGAGGCCAGAGAGAGACAGACAGCCTCTGGAGAAGGTGTGGGACTGTGAGAGGATATGAACTGAATACAGACAGCTTAGCAAACGTTTTAATAATCAAGATGTAATTTTGATTTTAAGGTTGGTATGCCACCTTCTTTGGTTTTTAAAGCATAATGCTGGTTGCCAGTCAAAAAACATTTAAAACAATTATTATGTCAAGGTCAAAGGACATTGGCAGATTGGTTCAATGTGAAGTATGGATGGGTTGAGTTTAACACCTAAAGCACAGATTTCAAGTAATTTTTGGTTGGTTCTCTGACACATGAACTGTTATGTTTTTTAATGCCAGATATTTTAGAACTAAAAATGAAATAAAATAAATGGACTAATTGGCACTAAGAGGCACTTATATGTGAATATTATGTTTTTTTTCTTTAGCCCTCCATGCTGGATAATCCAAAAGTTACACAACAAACTTTACAACAAACTTTTTATATGAAACTATATATGAAGACACAGCCCGTAGCTGGTTTTCTAAGCTTTTATTATCATAAAGACTAGAAACAGAGTTCTCTTGAACAATTCATTCTACCAGGAACTTGGCTGATTTACAAGAGTCTTGTCATTAAACTGAGTCTGCCGGACTAACAGTAAACCCCCTTGAAAGTCCCTGTTCGAAACCAAGAATTAGTCATATGAGTAGCCCAGTGCAACTGCAACTTAGCAATATCAAACTTCAGTTTATATACAATCATGGTAACTGGTTATTGTTTGTCATTTGGATTAGTTACCCACCTCAAGAGGGTAGGGGGTTATGTAATGTATTAAAAATGAGTAGTATGCAAACCCTTTATGCTGAGGCTGATATCCTAAAGTGATTTTCAGTTTCTGTCGATGCAATAATGAACTGCAACCAACTCCAAGCTCATTGCTGGTTGTCTCATGGCTTCATCCTTTCATTTTTGAGTTAAAACTAAGACTTATAGGTGGCATGTTTGTAGCAGGTTAATTCACATGGCACAGTGGAAAAATATTTTTTTGGACCTCTAATAATAATTTTGTACTACATGTCCCATGACAATAAGCCTACATATGAAATATGTAATATATTATGTAAACTATGAGCAGAGCCAGTATCACTGTAACCCTTTCCTAAAGTCTTTATGCTGAGCCTAGTTAACTAGATATTGGCTTATGTCTCCTATTCCCTTATGATTATGAAAGTCTAATTCATCCTTTTATCTAAAATACACAATCATATTTTAAACAATGTATTTGATTCCATCAATTAAACATTTAATTTAAATTGGGTATTTTTCTCTTTTTTTTTGGTCCAGTGAGCACCCATTGTGTTTTTTACTTTTACCGTCATGCATGCTGAACTGGCGCTAAGAAAAGGATTTTGACAGCTCACCAGAGCAAACCCTCTCAGCTCATCACTTGTCAGTACTTGACAGCTGCTTACAACGGTGTTATCTCTGAACTAATGTTAAACCCCCTTGACACACACACCTTCTCCCGTGCACACAAAAAGGTCGCCATAGGACAAAATATGTGTGAGCAAGACTCTCTTGAACCTTTCCATCCACTGGATTCCAAGGTCATTCCCAAAGGATTTAACAGATCAAACCGGCTGCCATTTTATCACCCTGCTGCTCTGCCAGCAGGGGAACGAGAGATATTTGACCCAGGGATTCCCATTGTCATGGAGATCCACTGCTGGGGCAATTGAATAAAGCAGGGAGGGTGTGCAGGCATCTCTGTGCACGGTGGACCACGGCCCACTCCGACAGCTGTGTGTCTGTTTAAGATAGAAAAGTGCTGGCAGGGTTACCCTCTAAATCAGTGGAGAGACAGAGGAGTGTCAACACGGCTTCAGCGACACCATTCCACACATTCTGGGACACTGAATATATCTGTGTGTCTGTGTTTGTTGTGTGTGTATGTTCAAATGTGTGCATGCCATGTTTGTCAAAAAGGGAAGCTAATTTGGTGAAAATTTTGACATATCATCGCTGTGACTGTAAACGTGGACATATCATATTCAACAGCTTTACAGCTATGTTTGCTCACAAACACCCCAAGATAAGCCAATAAGAGTACTATTTCACAATAAAGCAGTGGCAAGAGGTAAGTAGCTTATAAACAAATACCCTGTTGATAGTTTGGGGAGACATTAAAATCACAACCTGCCATTGCATATAAAATTCATGCATAATTTGAGTTGACACCTTGGAAAAAATATATGGATCCAGATATTAAAAACTCTGTATCATCTTGCTGGTGAAAATATAAGTGTGAATATTTTTGACACATTTGGAGAGATTTCAACTTTTGTTTCAAAAAAAGCGAACAAGGCTGGGATAGTTCTACATCTTCTTTCTTTTAGAAAATATTCATTACCATTAACATTCTTTTTTATGATTCTATACCGCTAATCTTACACCAAAAATGCTTACATGCAGCACTTACCTACTTACTTCTGACGTTTTATATATTTTTGGAGCAACTTCAACGTATTATTATATTGCATATATTGTTTATATGGCACATATGACACTTTATTTGACTAATTTACAGTTAAATTAAATGTATGATGAAAATATATCCTTATCCACAACTATAATTATTCCAAACAAAAGGGGAAAAAAATATTTTACCTACCTGTAGAAAGGACAACCATTTCTTGTCCTACACATGTAAACATCTTTATTGCAGTTTCTTTAAATCATGTTATTCAATACTCATCTTAAACATCTGCAGTTTTAACTGTTAGATTTCTTATCAGTATTTACCTGTCTAAGTCTTAACCTCAGATTTTGTTTTACTCTCATCTTCCTCAGACATGAAACATATCTGCTTACACATTGTCCCCAGAGAGTGGTAAAGATCAGAATCACTATTTTAAAAAGCAGTATCTGGTATCTAGATCCCTCCCAACTCCATCATGCAGCTAATTAGAATGCATAGCAGCAACATGAGTTTAGCCTCTGGATACTGGCCCTGCATTCTAAAGGGTGATGGCGTGCCTCATGGTACACAAGTGGTCCCACTTTAGTTGTCACTGTTATGGTGCTGTTACGGCTTGGCTGATGTGTGAAGCGAGGCTGCCCTTGGTCAAATAGCAAGGGAAATATCTTCCTAAGCCTGTTCATAACCTCAAAGAGACTTTTTGGGACAGCGACAACCCTTCGCCCACATTCATTGTTCATTAGATGCGGAACAAAGTTAGTCTAGAATCAGATCTCACCACATGGTCCAACTCTCGATCATGTCACGTAAGGTTCATTAGAAGATGTATCATTCATCAGCTACCAGATGGACTTTATGGTAAGATTGTTTTCTCAACTGCTGTTTCCAAGGTCAAAAGTTAACTTTGAATCTCAGGTTTCCAGAAAACTTGGACCAGAGGCTTTAAAGTTAAAGTCACTACTTCATGGTAAGATAGAGTGACTTCTTTGAAAGCTCAAGAGCAGCTTTTAAATGTGCTGCTGGAGACATTGTTTGCAACAACAATAAACTCAAGGGAGTCAAGAACACAGAAAGTAGAATAAAATGAAAGCACAATTGATCCCTGCCTTTAAATAAATAAATATTCCCCATTTTCAATGAATTTTTAAAGTATTCTGTAGACTGTTCCAAAGTACAATGTCTGAAAATCCTGATTAATTCACCAACAAATGAATCGAGTGGATTTCCATGGTTATCATCCCATGTTCATAAGGGAGTGAAGATTAGACTGTTTTGAAAAACAATATGGAGCTAAGGGTTGTGTTCATGTCACAGAGAGCAGCCATGGTCCCCTGTCCAACCACCTGTTGTTTTGCACACCAAACTAAGCATGCTGTTAAAACGATGAAGGGTTACCACTGGCCGGCTGCCCAGCCTGGCACTGTAATTGCCAAGATGGCTGT